GGGGCCTTAGAACAGAGAATGTTATGGTGTTTGGGAGAAATCTAGGCAGAAGAGATGGTGCTCCTGAGATGCCCACTCCCAGTTAGGGAGTGGATTGGAAAGGGGATTCCAAACCTTGAACCCTCTGCGCTTCTTGCCCTCCACCTCCAAACAGAGGCTGTGTGGGATCCTAGCGCTCAGAAAAGGGACCATTGTATCTTAGCAACCAGACTCAGCTCCTAGGAAACCAAGGAGGGGGCCAATGGATCAGCTAGAGGGATGGGAGAGGAGGGCCTGGGGTGCAAGTGGTGATGGCAGGGAGAGGGAAGAAGCTAGCCTGGGGTCTCCATCTCCAAGCGAGTGTGACCTCCCCACACCCATTGTGCCTTGCATGGGGGAGGAGGTGACAGTGTTGGCCTTGGGAGAGACAAAAGAAAGCCTTGGTTTGAATCCTACTCTGACACTTCGTACCTGTGTGATTCAGGGCCACTTATTTCCTTTCTCTGGGCTTCTCTGTTTCCATATTTGTATAATGAGGGGTTTCACAAGATGCTTTCAAATCTTCCTTCCAGCTCCCAGATCTTATGATCCTTCCTTTTAGGGGACAGCTCTCCAGACTCCATGGTCTCATTTCTCTCTTGCCTTTCCCTGTCTCTTTGCTTTTGTATTACTCTCCTTTGGGGAGAAGGTGTTTGGGGAAGAGCATCCCAAGGAGAGATGGTGTATCTCCAAGTGACAGAAACGCACCCTATAAGCCACTCAGGGAGAGAGGGGGAAGGACCCTGTAGGATCCTAAGGGACTGAGCTGGAGGACCTGCCTGGCTTTGGGGAACAGGAAGGCAGGATTGAGAGCAGATTGTTTGGGGGTTGTCATGGCAACAAGGAGCTTGGAATCCAGCAGAGAAGAAGGTTGGGGGTGGAAGCTGGGTAGGGTTTCTCAAGGAGCCGTCACCAAGGAAGGGTCCCTGATTGCCTGTATTACACTCTATTGGACGCATAGTATGTTCTCAGTAGATGTTTCATGAATTAGTAAGTGGAGCCTGCTACCTACAGTTGGCTTCTTCCTGCAAAGACTAGCTCTTCTGCTGGTACTGATAAGGTAGCATTGCTGGCCTAGAATAGTGCACCCTCTCCAGCTCTTTGCCATCCTTGTTATACCCTCTGATCCTTGCTTCTTTGCCTTAGCAACCCATCTTCTGCACCTCAGAGTTTCCAGCTAGAACCTCTCTGAACCTAAGTTTCCTTGACCGTAAGATGACCGAATTACTTCTAAGGTCAATATAGGGCTACAGATTTAGAACTGGAACAAGCCTTAGGGGTCATCTACTACAGCTCCCACATTTTATAGGTAAGAAAACAGGCTCAGAGAGGTGTGAAGTGAATCTAAGGCCACACAGGTAAGGGGCAGAGGTAGTAAGTATGATCTGAAACCAGGCCTACTGACTCTATATCTAACCCTCATAACACTGTATTCTCAATGCAAACCACCACCCATTAGAATCCTAGAATCAGGAGCTAGCCTGGTATGGTAGAAGGAGCTCTGCATTTGGATTTAGGGGACTGTGTTTGAATTCTAGAACTGCCCTTTGCTAGATGTATGACCGTGGGCAAGTTGCTTTGCTTTTCTGTGCCTCAGTTTACCCATCTGAAAACAGGGAAAAATGATCCTTAAAGAATTCATCTTGTATGTTGGGCATTCAAATGTGCTTTGTAAACCTTCAAGCACTATAGGCATATGGTATTATTCCCTTCCTTTTCTGTCTTCAGAGACCTGGCTCCCCGAGACCTCTCCGGCACCTCGGACCCCTTTGCCCGCATATTCTGGGGCAGCCAGAGCCTTGAGACGGTGGTGAGATGGGTCCAGATGGAGCCCTGGGAGGGTGGCAGGGGATATATTGGTCCTGGGGCTGAACTAGGGAGAAATGATGCCTAAACTATGAGTCTGGGGCTGTTCGTGACGGGGGACCTGAGTTGGGAACAGTGGAGTTGGACAGTTTCTTGGGTATGGTGTTCTGGAGTCATATTGGGGAATGGATCTAAATGTTTAAGGGGCTAGGGAGAGCCTTTGTAGAAAAAAATGCCTGCCTGGGATGTAAGCTGAGATGCTACTTTTCATTCCCACCTACTCACTCCCTTCTTCTCTTCCTGTTTCCTTTTATTGGCAGCTAGGTTGCATAGTGGTTAGAACACTGGCCCTGGAGTCAGGAAATCCTGAGTTCAAATGCTGCCTTTGACACTTACTAGCTATGTGACTGTAGGAAAATCATTTCCCCTCTGTTAGCCTCAGTTTCTGTCAAATGGGAATGTTGATAACACCTCTCCTGGAGAGTTGTTATGAAGACCAAATGAGATCGCATATGTAAAATGCTTTGAAAACCTTAAAGGATTATATTGATGATGATGATGGTGGTGATTCCCTGGGGATCCAACCCTGTTGCTATACAGAAGCATGTCTCCTTTCAGACACTGTGCTGCCTCTGTGAGGGGAGGTGTGCCTGGAATAGTCTTGGGGGGGGGCAATGCTAGGATCTGGGCTGTTATCTTTTATTGGGAGGGAATGGAAGCATTTGTCCAGTGGGGAGGGCAGGCTCCCCTCTCTCTCTCAGCTGGCCTTGATGCCCTTCTCATAGACTATCAAGAAGACGCGGTTCCCCCACTGGGATGAGGTGCTAGAGCTTCATGGCGAGGAGGGCCCGCTCCGAGTGGAGGTGTGGGATTGGGATATGGTGGGCAAGAATGATTTCCTGGGAATGGTGAGTCGCCAGCAGAATCGAGCTCAGCCGTACATCATCCCCACCCCTCCCCCACCCCCCAATCCCAGGAGATGGAGCCATGGGACAGGAGGGGTTAAAGGCAGAGGGTGGGGAGAGTGGGGCTGGGAGGCCTGGAGGGAGAGAGGGTGAGCACCGTTTGGAACTGAATCGGGGGTAAGAGGGTGGACAGAAACGGGGGAAACAGGATTTGAATGGCAAGTCCTATAGACCTCGATTAGAAGGTTGTAGAAGAAGACAGCGTGAGGTAGTAGATTGAATGCTATCCACTGTGGCACTGGGAAGTCAATTATCTCTTTCAGCCCTAGACATCCCTCTAAAACTATAGGCAGGCTGGTTGAAGTCACGGGTCATAGGACCACCAACTTGGAGCTGAAAGGGATAGAAGCCATAGAGCCTGAAACTATCCCCTTCATCATTTCTTTTAGCACAGCAGGAGATAACGTAGGTATAGTGCTTTGCAAATCTTGAAGTACAATATGTTATTATCTATTATCAATTATATTAATAATTTAATTATATATTATTTTATCATTATATACCATCATTTGTTCGATCATTCCTCAATTGATGGGCACCCCCTTAGTTTCCAGTTTGTTGCCACAAAAAAGAGCAGCTACAAATATTTTGTTCATTTGCAAACTGTACTCCCCCCACTCCCATTTTACAGATGAAAAAACAGATCCAGGCAGACACAGAGTAATTTGCCCAGGGTAATGAAGGCAATAAGGATTAGGTAGGATTTGAACCCAGATCCTCTGACTGCAGGTCCTTTGCTTGTTCTACGGTGTCATGACATCTTGTATCCTAAGCACGTCTCTGGCTTTCACCCTGTTTTAAATGGCAAACAGAAGAGTTGGTATTTCATTCCAGGTGGAGTTTCCTCCTGATGTCCTGCTCCAGTGTCCCCCCAGTGGCTGGTTCCGTCTTCTCCCCTTTGCCAGTGCTGAAGACGATGCTGGGTAAATGAAGGCTTGAGAAAGAGGAGCCCTGGACCTGGGTGGGCTGGGATGACCAAAGATACAATGGTAGAGGGACATGGAATTTCCCTCCCTCCATACATTAAGAACCATCCAAGGCTCTTGTAGAGCCTTGGTTGAGGTCTTTGGGACCCCTTTCCTAGCCTTCCCTCTCATCTCAGGGACAAGGAATTTAGGCCCCTTCATTGGCATGGGACTCAACCCTATGTCTTGGGTCTTGCCAAAAAGTTCAGTGGTTGGTGCCTCATGGTTTGACCAAAAGTGACCACCCCCATGGTAGTGATAGTGGTGGCAGTGATAGTGGTAGTGATGGTGGTGGTGATGGTGGTGGTGGTGATGGTAGTGGTGGTGACGGTGGCAGTAGGGGTGGTGATGGTCACTGAATTCTGGGTTGGCAGAAGACTTGGGCCTATTACTGAGTTAGTTGAGATTGTGTCAGCTAAGCGAATGGGCTCGGGCATGTCTGTTGTACCTGTGTGTGTGTTAGAAAAGCTCTGAGGTGTAGTAGCTGAAGCTTTTGGACTTGGACTTGCACTCATGCTGTGTGATCCTGGGCAAGTCACTTCCCTTCTATGACTCAGTTTCTCTCTCTGTAAAATGAGGAGGTTAGACTAGATGGCCTCTGAGGACCCATCTAACCCTAAATCTATGATTTTATGACTTTATGGTACTTTTAGGTGGTGGGTAATGGGCATGCCCCTTCCATTGTCGAGCTCCTCATTCTTTGCCAGAAAAGCTGTGGCTGAGATATACCTATGCCTTCCCCTCCCACTTCAAACATGTGTCCCGGTGTGGAGACAGCCTCTTGCTGGTGGATGTGTCTGCCCACACCAGCTTACACTTTCTGGTGCTTCGTTCCAGGGGTAAGCTGGGAGCCCTGCGGCTCAAGGTGCGCCTGGCTGAGGAACGCATCTTGCCTTCTGTGTATTACCAACCCCTGATTGAGCTGCTGGTGGAATCTGTTATGTCCCCGGCCCAGGTAGGTTCCCCTCTCAAGGTCAGGTATTGGTTTCTCCTTTGGGAGTTATGCAAATTAACAGCTGGGGGATTGCCTAGGTTGTCTGGAATAATGGATAGAGATCTGGTCTTGGAGTCTGGAAGACCTGAGTTCAAATCTCATTTCTGATGCTTACTAGCCATGTGACCCTGGGCAAGTTATTTAACCTTTTGGAGCCTCAGTTTCCATATTTGCAAAATGGAGATAATAAGACCTGTAGTAGCTGTCTTGAAAGACGGAGTAGACAGAGAGCTAATCTGCAAGTGAGGGAAAGAGTTGTGATATGATATACAGTCATTGTGACTCTGGCCAAGTTATTTGACTTGTCAGTGCCCTAGGCGACTCTGTAAGACCAGCACTGGCAGAGAATTTCCTCACCTGGGAGTTCCCTAAACCAGTGAAATCAGAGTACTCCATAAAGTACCCATCTCACAAGCTTGTTGAGGTACCAAGGAGACAATGCATTTTGACCCTTAGTGCTGTACAAATGTCAGTGATGATGGGGATGGTAGATAAGCTGTTTCCTTTTCTGTCTCATCCCCTTTCCCACCTTCAGTTCCTACCCATGTTGACTATCTGGGGAGGCCACAATGCCATCCCACAGAGGATGGGTGATTGCGTTCTTGGCAGGGTACCCGGGAGGTTGGGAATTCAAGGAGAACCTGTGGAATTGCTTCTTCCTTCCTCATGGTGTATGTCCTAGGATGATGCCATGACCCCTTTGGCCTTGCTGGATGAAGTGAGTTCTGGGGAGAGCCGGCAGGACATTGCAACCCAACTGGTGAAAATATTCCTGGGTCGGGGTCTGGCTGTTCCTCTCCTGGACTACCTCAATCTTCGGGAAGTGTCCCGGACCAGTGAGTGACCCCTCCAGCCTATTTACCACACATAGGACTTCTCATTTCCCAGAGAGAGCCAATCTGTATTAAAAACCTTCCCTCCCTTCCTAAAAGCCTGCAAGGGAGTGATTGGCTGCCTACCCAACCCTTAGAGGTAGCCCTGGTGTAATGGGAGGGACAATGGGCTTGGAGTCAGAGGACCTGAATTTGCTGTTCAAAGTACAAAGGGTACTTTGCTGTGTACTCACTGTGTGGGCCTTTGGTAAGTAAGTTCCCTGGGCCACAATAATCTCATGGGTGAGATGAAAGGGTTGGACTGGGTGATCCATGGGGATCTATTCTAGCCTAGACTTGTGATTCTGTTAGGAAATCTTTCAGATAAGGGCTTTTATCCATCCATCTGTCCATCTGTCTGTCCATCTGTCTGTCCTTCCATCCATCCATCCATCATCTATCTATTTGTCTATCATCAATCTATCTGTCTGTCTGTCTATCTATCTATCTATCTATCTGTCTATCTATCTATGCCATACCAGGGGAAAGAAGAGACTCCCAAAGAGAAGGATTCCACTCAGGGCGGATATGGTGTGATGATGATGACAGAAGACCAAGATTTTTTTCTTCCTTCTGTTGAATTCACCAAGAAGATTCATTTTTAGATAAGAAAAGGATGGAACAGAAAGGGCTAATTACTCGGCCAGTCAATAAGCATTGTGCCTACTATGTGCCAGGCACTGTGCTAAGCTCTGGGGATACAAAGAAAGGCAAAAGAAAGTCCATGCCCTCAAGGAGCTCACAGTCTAATGGGAAAGACAATATGCAAACAACTCTGTACAAACAAGATACAGATAGGGTAAATTACTGATTTGACATCAAGGATAAATAAGTAGCAAGAGATTCCCTTGATCCAATTCCACAGATGTTTTAAAATACCTGTTAGATGCTAGGCATCATGTCATAGTAGCCAGAAAGCTGGCAGAACTGAGTTTGAGTCCTACTTCTGGGTGTGTGTGTGTGTGTGTGTGTGTGTGTGTGTGTGTGTGTGTGT